GGCTTACAACAACAACAACAGCAACAGCAACAGCAACAGCAACAGCAACAGCAACAACAGCAACAGCAACAGCAACAGCAACAACGGCAACAACAACCACACCAACAACAATCACAACCACAACTATCAATATCAGTATCACTACCAACATCCGTAGTAATATGCAGTGTCACGACAACAACTGACAATAACAAGACAACCATAATAATCAGAGGGAGAAGACTACTAACTCATCGTAATAACGATACAATATAATATACATATATATATATATATTTATTTATTTACTTATAAATATATTGTATAATATTTATATATATAATATTATATTATATTATATACATATGTATAACACATGTATGTATGTATGTATGTATGTATGTATGTGTATGTATACAAAATATGTGTATGTATATATATATATATTATATAAGCTTAGCCGTTCTACTTGCTGGTCCAGCCTGAAAAACCCGGAGATCCCTAATACCTAACTTCCCGCCTGAACCGTCCGGCATATCCCACGGGCTGCGGTCCTTCCTGAAAAAACCCTGCAAGCGATCGAAAGGCCTATGCGTGCCTGCATAATATCATGGACCATGTTACTCTGCCATCATCCCGAAGATGCGATACCATTGGGCCTGTTGCACATAAAGCAGCCAGAAGCCATCGCTGGCGAGCACAGAGCAGAACGATCAGAGTGTGTGCCCTCAACCTAGGTCCGCTCGCGAGCTCCTTGAAAGCCACACTGGAATCGTCAAGCAACTACAGAATCGTTGAATCTAACCAGTCTCTAATAGTCTAAGGATGCGGTTCGATCTCGAAAGGCTGCAGGAAGGCGCACATCTGGCCGAATGTGGTCTGTATGCTGAAGATATCATGCCTAGAAGGCGCCTGAACTGCATGCGGACCTGTCTTTTGCAATCATGCCATGGCTCCTTCTGCATGAGGTGCAAGATCTGTATGCAGAACGGATGGTACCTGCGAGGTTTGCTTTGGAAGTGACGTGACGTAGACATCTTCAAACATGACCTTGGAGCTGCATACCCGGGGCACGGAGTTCGTTGGTGCGCCGATGTGGTTTTCAGGAGACTTTGGACCTTGGCCATCGCACGTGGCCTAGGGAAGGAGCGCCGTATGCCAACAACCTTATTCATGCCAGCAGCTGTCAGCGCGTGCCTCACCTGCCTCACCTAGCCTTTGTTCACCATAGCCTCCACTCTTCTGCGAACGAAGTCTTTGGACGTCATGTCGTGACCCCGACAAACACACAATGCATGGGCCGACTTGTGGCGCTCCGGATTTTGCAAAAGACCGCTTGCACCCCGCGCGTTTCTAAGGGCACCTCTTCAGTTCCGCACTCGTTTCTGGCTGGGGTGCTTCAAGATACTAGTAGGGGTGTGAGGCTGCCTGTGGCCCTGCGCAGTGCGAGGCCAAGCTCCGCACCATTTCGCAGGCCCGTTGCATGGCCGTGCAATATCTCACGCTCGGATACGAGGTTCACGAGCTCACGTGCAAGCCACTTCCGGGTTAGGGCCTAAAGGCGGCTATGACGGATATGAGTTTGGGACAGGGCAGATGGTATGCCATGACTGATCCTGGAGCCAATGGCCCTGCTCAGGCCTGATATGATTTTCTTTTCCTTCTGTCGCAGAGATAGCCGGGACGAACCTGTGGGGTACAATCCTGCGAGTCTTTGTTACGGTTCTAGCACGATTCCAACGTCGGAAATCCACAATGCCTGTTTCAAGGGGACAGACGTGTCCACTACCCGCTCTCTGTATTCCAACATGTTCACCAGCAGATTGCATCGAATTGTGCTACCTTGAGGTCTCGAGCTTCAATGAGTGCGAGGACAGCCGAAGTCAAAACGAAAGTTCACAAGTACTTAACTCGTCCTTCGTCGCACGTGCGCGCAACAACGTCTTATCTCAACCCCATCCCTGGAGGACCACGAGTACGATAGCAGTAAGAGCAAATGCCATCGAGTGAGCTGAGCGATAAGCGCGAAAAAAAAAAACAGCACGGACAGGCTCTCTTTTTCGTGGATGTGGACAATTATCCCTTGGAAACTGCACGAATACAACTAGTGGTGCTCTTCTTGGTAACTGTACACATGCACTTCGGACCTTTGCGACCTACTTTCCTCGTAGGCAACTCTGAATCGTTGCGACATTGGTGAAGACCATTTCTTCGCACACCGACCCTTGCGATCACACATGCCTCTTGCAACTTCTCTCTCTTTGCTGTTCTTGTCTCTTGATTGTGGTAAGGGGTTCCATCTGCCCACTTTGTTGTCGAATTGGTGTCGTTGATGTAACCGATGTAACCTTGCCAAACCCAATCACCACCTCCCTGCCACCTCTCATCATAATTGGTGATGTTGCCTTCACGCTTGTATGCCACCTGCAACGCCTGTGCTCTTGCACTTTCGTGCGTGCGCACCTGTCTGCATGTTTCTCAAGGGAGGCATTGTGGGCCGGGCCGCGACTCAACGCTTCATGGAACACTGGCCAAGCACTGCCAGTGTGTGTCCGGGCATCTCGGAGATCGGGTTGATTCTGTTCTTCATCTTCACTTCAGGAAAAAACTCCATGAGAAATTCAATCAGAAGACGATGGGCATGCTCTTCGCACTGTTTAATCAGAGGGGCCTGGTTTCGGCCTGCAGCGACCTTCGTCTCGATACGTCTCGTGGTATGCCTCGCCCTCGTCACTCTGTTCTTTGCGATCTATAGACCTCGGTCTCGCCCTCCAGCATCTCGCGAGGGGGAAACATCTTGCAAGCCTTTATGTGCTCCTTCTTATTGATAAGGACCCCACATAGGCCAATTGGCGTCTCTACCAACTTTGCCTCATGCCTGGCACCAAATCCAGCTTGGCACCGACCACTTCAAAGCGGCCTTGGCACTGCCTGAGTTTCCGTGAGGCTCACAGGAAACACAATGCTGTAAGAGGCTGTAAAACGACTTCATTCGTAATCCAGCTCCAAACCTGAAAGGCCTCGCATCGTTGATCACGTACACGGCAACTCCCTTCATCATGGAAATGCTTCATGTGGTTGCGGCCCCGTTCCTCACCAACCACTCACCGAGCACAGCAAATGCCTGCAAAAACCAACAACTGGTCCTGGTCACGGCCCTCCACATCTGTCGCGGCACTGGCGCACCAATACTCAGTATAATCTCGGGCCCGTACTCATCGGAATCAGAAAGCTCCTCCTCGATGACGGCCATCATGTCCCCTCTTTCAGGCTTTTCAGATTTCAATTTCTTGTGGGACGGGCACGGAGCCTGTGAATGCCCAGTGACCATAGACCGTCCTGTCGCGGGCTTTGCATGCGGAGCATGGCAACTTCTGTTTGAATTATTCAACTCAGCTATCCTCTCGGCTCGAGCCTCCCTGAGCATTCTGGATTTCCCGATCCAAATCCTCGAGCTTTCTCCACTTGAGCCCTCTTCTTGGCTGCTTGGGTCAACAAACACTACAATTCTTCCCCCAATGCCCAAGGCAGCATATCATCATTCTTTTCACTGCCTGGATCCTCCTGAGTTTCTTCAGATTCTTGACGAGTGGCATGAATTTTGGCTGGGGCCTTCCTCCACTGACGATGTGCACATCTTGCATTACTTTGGTGGCTATTGTCCTCCGTGTTCACCCCACCATAGCAGCTCTGAGCTTGTTGTAGTCGTTCCGTCCGCCTGCCGCTGCGACCACCTGTTGCCGAAGTTCAGAGTTCCATGGACATCACCGGACAACGAAGCTTTTCTCCAGGAACCAACCAGCTCGAGTGACAGTTGTGATGCCGGCCCCAACCTCTTCCAAGCACTGTCCATGCCGACGAAACTCCAAGTCATTAGAGTCTGGAATGTCTTCAAAACCTGTAAGGGTTCCAGCTACTTCCACGTGCGCCAGAAACCTTGTGAGTCCTTAGGATTTCCGGAAGCTTCTCCATAACAAAATTCTGTGCCCGAGAAGTCGGATCCATGATCTATCCCAGTACTCATCGCGAACATCTTCACTGTGCACTGATATACTCTGGGATGTAATCTTTCCGAATTTGTCCTCGGCACATTCTTGTTTGTCGAGACTCCGTCCCCTCAGCAGCGAACCAGAAATCATCATTGCTCCTTTGTGCTCCAAAGGTTCCCGCCTCTGGTCGCTGCAGAAGCTGCCGGCCCAGGTTTTTGCAGAGCTTCCGAATCAGCTGCCCGCGTTTTGCTCTGCCACTGCTGATTGCCTCGGGGGCACCTTTCCATGTCCATGGCACATTGCCATATGAACCCCAGACGTCACCTGCTGAGTAAGTCCAAAAAACTTCCAAAGCCAGTTTGCCAACTGTTGTCGCCGCCCCAGGACTCCCGTCCCTTCAGCCACCACTCGAAGAGGGATAGAGCCATCGCTTTGGCTGTTCGCCGTCGAGGATCTGCTGTCTGCCCTCGTTTCGATCCCTGCCCTGCTGGCGCAGAGCCACATGCGCAAAAGCGGCCCGCCACGTTGCGCTGACAGGCGAATCTTCATCGAAACGTTCAGACAGAACACATGCTATGACACTTCCGGATCAGCTCAAGCTTTCACCGGCCGGTTGGGACGTGCAAAACAAATACATCTTGAGGCCCTTTCAGGCTGATGTGCATTTGGGCGCAACCGGGAGCTTGGGGAGGATGCGAAACTGAAACTGTTTTCTGCGTTCTCCATTTTTCAATCATGTACAGGCATGTCGTTTGTTTGCGGCGCTTTGTCCCAAGGGTTCGGATAGAGCATTCTGAGCACTGTGGTATCCTTACATGGGTTGCATTGGCAGCTCCACTGCCCCTTTTTAATTGGCGCACAGTGTGACCGCCTCAGATGCCGTCGATCTGTACATTCCGGCAGCGACAGAGTAATGAGCGAAGTGAGTGCGATATGGTTATATGACAAACTCAATCATTTCGAACATTTCCACGTTGGGTGCATGCAGCGTAAATACATTCCTGAACAGCAAAAGCACAAAATAGCAAACCCTGAACAAAGCCCTTCACCAGAGAAGGTGGAGAAGCAAAAAAAAAAAAAACAGCACAGCGAAGGCGGGAAAGGGGACAGCAAAGGCCCTCAGGAAGCACCGACACACCGAACATTCCAGAAGAAGAGCCTGCAGCAGAAGCAGCATCAGCGGAGACACAACAAGAAGAAGAAGAAGAGAAGCCAGATGAGATCAAGCATTTTGCAAGGTTGGTTCATCCGGGAGTACAACAAGACGCGAGACCTGTACAGCGCATACAGTGAGGGCAGGAAGGGTGCAGAACATTCATTGCCGCTGCAAAGGCAAGACTGGGTCTGAGAGAACAGTCAAGAATTACCGCGAGAAGCGAACATGGGACGATTAGGGCTGGAAGAAAGAACATTAGAAAAGCCCAACACGACACCACGAGGAGTACAAGCAGAAGCCAACACTGAGCAATGCAAGCAGAACAGCAGCATGAACACACAACTTAGCAGGAAAACGGGAGCAACTGGTAAGGCTGGCAAGGCAGAAAGAAGCACGCAGCAGTTGCAGCCCAAACAAGGAAAAGGCACCACAGACATGCAGAAAGGCAAGAACAAGCTGCAAGTCAACAAGAGCCACCAGCAGCAGCCTAAAGGCAAAGGCGGTCATGCAAAGAATAACTATGCCCGTGCTGTGCAGGGTTGTGTTTTCTGTTTTTTGAGATTTCCTGTGTTGTGTGTTTGTGTGTGTGTGCACACGCTTGTTTTCCTGATCCTGCCGCGCAGTATCATCGAAGGAACTATGGTTTGGTGAGTATGAGGGTCATGAGTGAGTCATGAGACTGAGTTCGCACATGGAAAGCAGCCGCTGTCTGCATTTTCGAAGTCTGTGTGCTGAACTCAGCTCTTGCGACTCCCAGCCGGGCGCAGCAATGCATAAACACTGGCATTCGCTGCTTGATGGCGCTTCTCGACCAGCCTGTGCTCTCGGAAGTGGCGCGTTTTGCTCTTGCGAGCATCACACTGAAAGGGCATGGCGCTGATGCAAACACCGGCAAGCCACCCATTGATTCCCGTGTCCGCGAACACATGGCAAGCTTTTGGGCTGGACTAGGGCCTGGACAAGTCTCACAGCGCTTCGCTACCTTGAAGTTTAATCAACCCACACTTCTCGCAGCCGGCCCAGTCTCTGACCCTCAAACGTCTTTCCGGCGCAGCTGCCACCGACAGTGTTCTCGAACAGTCTTCTCGGGATCTCTGGAAGCAGACTATGTGAATCAGAGGCTTTCACAAACCTCGGCGGAGAAAATCAACTCTGATATTTTGTTCAACATTCGAGCCTGTTGCCAAGATTGGGAAACGATACGTATTCTTGACGTTGTTGCCAAGCTCAGCTGTCAGAGTTCCGTCTCAAGCAGCATACCCACTGTCTTAAAAAAGCCAGTTGGAAGTAGGCAAGAGCCATACCCCCCTGGTACAGTGTAGCCACGCAGCCACTGTTTGTTGCTGAGGACCTATGGAGCCTGCGTGGAGGGGCTAAAACGCAGCATCGACTATAATGCTGCCACGCCGAAACGAGCCACAAAGCGGTCGTGGCGCTGCAGATCTCAGACATCTTCACCGCCACGACGCTAGCATGGTCCTTTGGCTTTCCTATTAAAAATCGATGTGGCGACACAGTGGACACCAAAAATGCCCCTGATTCTCAAACAACCTTCCAGCCGCTGAGGCATTCCAGTGAAAAATAAGTCAGACAGTGTTGAACCCACTGACTCAAGACTCTTTGTATAGATTTGTGTGCGCTTGTTTCGACATAAGTAGCGCAGAACCCCGTAAGCCCACATCGCTTGTAACGGGGCCAACTAGGGAATGCCAAAGCAATGCGAATTTGCCCCAAAGACTTCCGAAAATGCTGACCTCCACCGTGTCGCCACAAGGCTTCCGAGTTTTTATCGCAAGCCCCAGGCTCACACACTGCACTCAGCAGCCTTCGGTCTTTTTGGAAGCTCTCTTCTCGGGTTTTATGCTCATCACAACTAACTCAGCCTGAGAACAGAGTTCGATTCAAGCTCGAACAGCTCAACACACCATTGAAACAACCAAGTCAAGCTGCCGAAACTCCGTGCAGTGTGACTAAAAAAGTCTTAACATCTCGAGTAGGTGCAACAGCATGCAGCAAGAGCAACTCGGTACTTCAGCGAGTCCTCGTACAGGCTTCCCTCTGTCAGACGGACTCCCTGGAAATATTTACACTCGATACTTCAGGCTTCTGCGTGACCAAGTGCGGGGCTGCACTGCTGGAGGTTAACATCCGTCGCTATGCTTGCTAGGAACTACTGCCGACTGCAAGGAGTCTAAGATCCATTGCCTACGCTGCAAGCATTAGGCTGCCCTTTAAAACCCTTCTTCCAGGAAACGGTGAGTGACAATGCTCTGTAATTATAGTAAGTTGCAGTCGATGATTGTAAAGGCAGTTGGTTGCATTGTCAGCCAGGCGCGCGGCACCGGCGCTGGCTGCGGTTCCGAAACTTCCTCGCCGTCCTGAGGGGTTTTTGAAACTTGCCAATGGTACTCCCGCCGGTGCCGCACACATCCTCCCATGCGTTTCTGCCTCCCCAAATCGTTCTCCAACCACAATGCAATGTAATGGAATTCTCGCAGCCATTCAACAGGTGCACAAAAGTAGCCTATGGGAGAAACTTGCTCCACCGCATTGCAGCAGCCCGCCCTAAGTCGTCAGCGTCTCGACAACAGTAAGCTCACGGAAGGTCGCTGGGGTCGTGGACTTTGCTACAGCGGCTCAACGTGTTCCCTTGCTAAATCTTGCAATCGTATCAGCAACACATCTACGGCATGGTCTTCCCGTGTTCGCCTACAGCACAAACAAAAGCCCAGGCATATCTGCGACCACAGCCCAATGCAGCGACCCTCCCTTGGGCACTATGTTTGTGAGGCTCTTGCCTTCGCCTGCCCGTACGAACGATGCAGGCAGAGGGAACGAATGCTCTCTGGGCCAACTAGGCCTGTGCCTAGTTCTGGGCGCATGCGGCCTTAGGACAGTCACCCGGCAGCGGAGGGCCGGACACATCTCTGGTGCAGGAGTCAAACTCTGATTTTCTCTGTCTTCGACACTTCAAGGGGAGCTCCTCTCCTACAAGTAGGGTCATTCTGTGCCGGCTCCAGCACAGCGAAGCAGAGTGCGGAACGTGAACCAACATTCTTTTTCGGACAAGCTAGCTGCGGATGCATGAGCTCAGAGCACCAGTCCAGACTAAAACTCAGGGCAAGACCTGACTCGCCACCATTCTTGGTATTCCAATGTCAGCAACTCAAGCAGCCGCAGCCACTGAGAACATTACCAGGAAAAAGAGCTCTGGGAGGCCTTCGGAGAAGGCGACACCGGAGCTGCTGTGCTTTGCCAGGTGTGTCTGCTCAATTCGGGCCACATATTGAAAGTCATTCCGGAGGCTCAGTGGAACGGTGGGATCTGGTGTTTTGTGCCCTTGGCCCAAAGAGCACACACAAGTTGCTGAAAGGGAACGAGGAGACGCAGAAGTCTGAAGTGAAAAGGATGCCCCTCACCGAGGGAGCTTGAACTGCGCAGCATCTTGCGTGATCTCTCAGGTAAAATCCCAAACAATCCCAAGCGCTTTACCAAGTCTGGAGTCTTACAGGTGAACATGTTGCGCTCCGTGCATCACTTCCCACCACGACCAGATTTCCGTCGACCGTCTGATCGGAATGGGAACGACCCTAGCTAACCGATGCAAAAGCCGAGATTAACTTGTTGCAGTCAAGTTCCGTCAGTGAAGGGGTGCGACGGAGCAAGGACCACATGCACACTGCCAGACAGCTGGAAGCCCTACCGTAAAAGCATTGCAGAACTAGAAACTCGTAGTGACAAGCCAGCAACCGGCTCAACAAACAACCACCCCATGGTACACGACAAGGAGCATGATCTTGGAACGTATGGCAATCGGTTAATACTACATGTAGCAATGTAGTTCAGGCAGTTGCCTTAAGTGATGTCTGCTCTTGCCTGCCCTGCTCGCGATAGGAATGTGGAAAGTCAGCATCAAGCTACCCACTTGGGCTTGCCAGCTCCGCAATCAGGCCAGGAACTCTGTACGAGTGCGCACCTTGCCTGTGCACCGCCCTGCCGAATGCTGGATGCTACCCTAAGCCCTAAGCCCTGAAGCGTCTCTGCAGGGTGGTGCACTCAAATGCGGAAAGGTGTCACAATTGCGCCGGCCCTTTCAGTCCTTTGCTCTCGCAGCTAGGCAGAG